GATTGTGGCAAAAAAGAAAACTTAGTGGTTTATCATGAGTCAAAAGCATACCTGGCTTGGACTACTAACCTGATGTGAAACTGTCTCATTGTACTTCTTTCTCAATAAATTTATATATAAAACATACCTGGCTAAAACAGTATTTTTCTTTATTAAAACAATGATCTCTTCTAATAATTTTTATATATAAATACACAAATGTAAAGTCACATACATATAAGTAAACCACTCCAAATTCTGATGTATTTTCATGGTTGAAAAAGGTAAGAATTAGCTAATTCATCATTAGCGATTTCTCTTAGTCTCTAGTTATCTAGATGATAAGAATCCTAAAAATTTTATGATTGAACAGAAAGATAAGTTACTCTTACAACATCTTAGTATGTGCTCAATAAAGATTCTGTTGGATGATTCAGTCTACCATTTCACGTTTACTATAAGATTTTTCTTTTTGTAAAATCTTACTTATTTGGTACAGGATCTTGCTATGTAGCTTGGACTAACAGTGATCCTCTTGTTTCAGCCTCTCCAGTGCTGGGACTACAGAGGTGTGCCATTACACCGGATCTTGGTGGATGGCTCTGTGGGTGCCAGAGTGGCATTCAGTACTGGGGCTTGAATCCGGGTCCCTGTGCTTGCCTCGGCAGGCGCTTAGGCTGCTGAGCTATCTCCACAGCACTATATAATTTTTCTAGATGAAGATTTAAACCTTAAATATCTCTACAGCTAGATTAGATCAACGTAACGCAGACTTAAGCTTATATTAGGACAGTATCTAGAAAGTTAATCTTTAAACCAGAGTTTAAACCAAGTTCCACTGTGGGAAATAAGTAGTTAGGTAAAGTTCATTTGCCCTATTAAATTTTAAATGTGGGTCATTACTCTCTGTGGTATTACATGACAATATGATAGTGATTATTTGTTTAGCATGAACACCAGTCCCAAGAGGTCAGAAATCTACAAGAAAATTTCACTAATTCATTCATTAATACACTATTATAGTGATGGATGAATTATTTGAATCCAATTTGTTGCCTCCATAGGAATGTTCAGAGCTCACCCAAATACATCTAATTTTTTTCTTCTTCTGAGTATATTGAGAAAACATTTGAAAACTAGCATGACTTCCTCAAGGAACTTATTTAGGAGGAAAAAACTTCACTCTGAGATAATAAGTTCTAGAACCACACACACAAAACAGTATGGTATTGACATAAAAAGGTCAGAATAGAACTGAGACTGACCAATGTTTTTATAGGACTGCAATAAACATCATTAGTCCCATAAACAAATAAATAGAAGATATACTACTTGGAAGATGTTAGGAAATCCGGCCCACAGAATACAGAAAAATACTTCATACTTTTAACCACACTCATAGGGAAGAATGAATTGTTGGCTAAATCAACAACAAAAATAACCTTCCAATAGGCCTTGAAAAGAAAAAAAAAGGGTTTTTTGCATTGTCAATCACATTTTAGAATAAAGTGCACACTTCTCAGATATATATGTATATATGTGTGTATATGTATATATATATATGTATGCATATATACATATATGTATATATGTGTGTGTATATGTATATATATATGTATTGTGTATTAGGGAAGGGTCTACAGGGTGTTCAGGGTCTCACTACTAGATCCCATTCGTAGTGACCTGCCTGTTTACAGCCTCCCAAGAGCTGGGATTACAGGCGCACACCACCACGCCCACAGTTTCAATTGCAGTCTCAGCGTGCCCCGGGGGGAGTCGAACCCTGTCAGACATCTATTTTTATAAAATATAGTAAATTCTAAAAGTGGGATCAGATCACTTACACCAACTAAGAAAAGGGTGAATTCAACTGAATTTTTCTTAGCTCTATTTTCTCCATCAACTACCCACTAGAAACTATGATTTCTGGCAAATGACACACTGGTAAAGTGCAAGGAACAGTGCGCCAAGGGTTCTTCACAAGAATGAGCTGAATGCCCTTGAATGATTTCATCACTCAAACACACTTAGCGCTGAACACCTTTTTCGTCGCCTCAATCCTAAGTACCTGCAGTTAATTTTAGGATATAATTCTAACGGCAGAAAGCACACCTAGTAATTCACGCGCACCAAGCGACAGCTCCTTTAGTTTTGCCGGCACTGTTAAGGTAGCGTCATTAACGTCCCCATCCAACAGGAAAAAGGGTTGCACAAGGCCACTCAGCTATTCGTGGCAGACTGGGTTTAAAATGACCCTGAGGATTCAGACGCGCCTTTACCTGGAGAATCTCACGGAGCCACAGAGCGCAGTTCCCGGTTCGGGGCGTACGAGCCACACGCCCCGCAGGGCCATGGTAACCCGCTGCAGCGTCAGTCAGCACAGCTCCGAATTACGGTCGCCACCGAGCAACAACGTTCTGGCGAACTCTTACCAGAAGCCCCAGGCGGGCTCTTCGAAGATCAGGCCTACAGGGAGATGACCAGAACCTCAGAGTGCTTCCTGGTCAACGCAAATCTTCGACGTTCTAACAATTCAAACCTTCAATCCCCCAAACACTCGATTTGTACTTTCTTCCTCTCAGTCCACTTCCGGGGTGGTGGCCCGCGAGGACCAAGCTTCCGCACACGCCCGAGCCACGCGCTCCTCCAGCGCGAGCTCGGCGTCCGCTCCTCTCGCCCTCCCCTCCTGGGCCTCGCCGGCGCGCGCAGTCCCACTTCCGGCGTACGAGGCGGTGACAATGGGAGCGGCGCGGGCGGCGCCGGGAGGCAGCTGACAGGCGTCTGCGGCTCTGCTTCATGGCCGCTGTCGTGCCCCGCCTGCGCTCGGCGAGACCTAGGGAACGCGGGGTGGCCGTCCGAGCCGGGACCTGTACGCGGCGCCGGTGAGGCGCAGCATGTGAAGCGGAGACGGCGTCCCGCGCCGGGCGAGCCTCCCAGCCGGCCGGGATGGCGACGACGGCCGAGCTCTTCGAGGTGGGTCCCGCGGCTCCCCGGGGAGCGGCAGGCCCAGGGGCGGCGGCGGCGGGCGCTCGGCA